GGTGTGACACCACAACGCACCCCTCACACGGTCATCTTTTAAGGAGTGACGATCGCGCCTGGCCGCGCATGTAATTACGCTTATGGGATTTACAAACTAGGTGGGGAGAATACTTTGCGAGTTCGAGGGGGGTGTTCGTTGGGGGTTTTCTAATTAGAGATCGGGCGGCGGTGACTCGAGACTCGAATAAAACACAACCGCCCCGGGCTGAAACGAAAAAAAGAGGTTTACCCCCGCCGGGGACTGTCTTTTTAACTCTTGGTGACCTAATTCGGTCGTCAGGCAATTCGAATCGGATTCGACGATTCTCTTGAATTTTCGGTACATTTTGTTATGATTGTAACCACCACGAACGATGTTTAATTTATTTGTTTTCATATTACGACCAGTAATCATTTCGACAACTGTCCGCGATCATCCAGTCTAACATAAAATCCCAAATCCCGCTATCATCACGGCAATTCAAGCTCGGGTAAAAAAATCGAAGCTCAATCCGCCCCACGACCCCACGGAGATTCGTTCCTCTCTACGCCTGGTAATCGATTTTTATTTTGTGTAGTGAGATATAACGTCAACTACAGAGGAAACAAATAGATCAAATACGAGTAAATTAACAAAGAAATAATACTATTAATTTATAAGTAATACATCACTTAAAACAACTAAATAGAAGCAATTTATATTTTCATAACACACGGAATTGCAAAAAACGGGTCAAACAAATAGCAGCACAGCCAAAGACACTATGCGACAAAGATTTGGACCCAGAATAAACATAAGGAAAAAAATGTTGTATTAACAAATTATATCGAAATAAGAAATGAATATTATGACTTAAATTTATTAATTTGTAATTAATGTATCGATTCAAAAAGTTTAGATAGAAAAAAAGAACTTATATGTAAAAGAACTAACTCTAACTAACTAGAAAAAAAACTGTAAAAGTTCGCTTCTTCAATTAGTCATGTTATACGCCTATGCTTACAGTCTCCCGCCCTCTGCTACACGAATGGTTAGTATTGTGTCCCATTTAAGTTTGAACATTTACAACTATGAAGGCTCGATAATCAGCTCACGGCATATAGGTGTAAGCAGGGGTCAAGTGCTATTTTTCCTCCTGGTCTCTCGCTGTCATGCCTCTGCGTCCCCCAGGGGGGGAGCGCCCCCCACTTTGAGAACCACTGGCTTAAGCTAACCATATTTGCTGTAGGGTACAGAGTATCAATCTTCTCATCAAACTATTTAATTATTGGGAAGTTCCTCAGACTGTGTAGACATGGTAGTGATTAACTATGTATATATGAGCTTTTACACTGGAAGCTTCATCCTATAAGCCTGGGGCTGAAAATTGAATAGAAAAGCACATTCATGCAAATCATAAAGAGGAAAAAATTATTTGGGTTTCTCAGAAATAAGGGTAAAGATGTATATTTGCATATCCTACAGTAATTCACTAAGACACTGTTGGTCCTTTCCTATTTTTTTTTCTCAGAAAATATTTTTCCTGTAAGGGCAAAGAAAGAAGCTTGCCAGCAGAAACTTGCGTTTTAATTGAAGAAGACTTAAAGAATATATGAGTTAACGCTCTCGGCCTGTAAGTAATTAAGCTTGGCACGCCAGCAAAGATGAGCATTCAAGTATGGATAAAAGGGACTCTTGACCATAAATAATCCTCTCTCATTTTCCCTTGTCTAGTCTTAGAAAAAAAATTTCATAATATATGCTGTGCATTGTAGGCTATTGTAAGCGTCTTTTCTACTCTACATATTACATCATCAGAAGTTCATCTGAGGGATCATATTAACATATCATTTGTAAGTCAAAGGCTTCATTAAGTAGTAAAAGTTTTTTTTAGTGGATATTAAACAATTAAGTCAACCTCTAATGGAAACAAAATGATTAGGCCAATACTTTTCTGAGAAATGAACAGATGCTGTAAGTAGGATGATTTAACTTTGGTCAGATGACCGACGCATATTGAACAAAAGCTTGCCACTCTTCATTATTGTGGAAATTTCATTCTCCGTCATTTCCGTCAAGTTTTGTTTCCATTCATCACATAATAACGTACTTCATTTATTTCCATAAAGCAATCATTCAGTATTTTTTTCCATAATGCAGTATGTGGTTTTATGTTTGTTATATTCGTCTCTCATAATTGCCAAATAAGGAAGTACTCTCCAGAGGAAATAAGTGTACAGTTCCTTTTTATTATAAATCAGATATGAAAGTCTGTGGTTCAGTCCTGATATGGATATGATGACAATCATTTTCATTGGTTGTGTTGCTGAAGTAGGATCCATGTTTTCTAATAAACTGCTAACATTGTTTATGGTCCAGTAGCCTCCTCTGATTTCTAAGTTTTATTTCTAAGTTAGCCCCCTGGGGACTTTCCGGGCTGTCAAAGAGCAGCAGACAGTTTCACAGCGCTACAAGCTGAGTCCTATCAAAGTAATGAACAAGAGGCCAGACTTTTAACCCCTCATAAAGTCAGTACGCCAGGGAGTATTCACTCTAATGAGAGGAAGCCGTTAAATCTGCCGGGTCATGTTGCTGACTTCAGCATCAGCTTGGAGTGTGATGAAAGCTTCAACATGGCCTCAGACTGTGTTGATTAGCACTAGCAATGCCAGTAAGAACATCAAGTAATGAGATTGTAGACAGGAGCCAGAAGCCATTTTAACAGTTTTGACAGTGAGAGATTAAAATAACCAAAATGGATAAAGGCAGCAGATGCATGAGACCTTGGTCATAATTAAAAAAGTCCAAGAAGAAAGAAGCTCTTCCACTGATCAATATTTCTCACTAAGCTCCGTAATTTGTAAAGTTATTCAGTTTGACACTTGGCAAACACAGTGAGGGTGGATGGGCTTTCCTCAACAGGAATGAAACCTCAACATGTGTCGCAGAGCAACCCTGTCTTACCTTTCCAAAGTCCCTGACGTCAAAAAGGTCAAAGGCCTCGAACAGCTCGCTTTTCTTCATCCCGAATATGTCACTGCATGCTGCCAGGAAAGTCCTGATGTTCTTCAGGCACAGGAACTGTATTGGGAAGACAGAAAGGGTTCATCTGTGAGCGACGTGTGTTTTTTTGAAAGGGTTCAGGTACTTCTGTTTTTCTGTTCTGCATGTTAACTTTCATTCTGGTTGCCTGCTAGTGAGGACCTACGCAGGTCCTCACTAGCATCACCTGCGTCACACTTGAGGACCACAGCTATAAAACATAGATGGATCTGTGTTTAAAGGCGCCATGAGAGCATGTTGTTTCATTACATTGATGTATTTCCTGTTCAAATAAGACAGTGGAGTGGTGTGTACTAAAAAAAGAGATAACTTGAGACAGTAAAGGGAGAGAAAGGCAGAAATCTTATTAATTCCTACTGGTAAAGCAGATTTGTCTTTCTTTCTTTCCTTATATTTTCAGTATACAGTGTTAAATATAAAATATATTTATTTTTGAAATACAAAAGGGAAGAAAATAATTGTAGATATAAAAGCTTTCATAATAACTTGAGTTGTCTGTTAGGGTAAAATATGAATCTAAATGTATCTTGACGTTATGACACTTCCATTTGAGTCATGGTCTCATTTCCATAGAGTGTAAGAAGCTTGTTGCTGACAATAAAAGGGCAGGAAGCTCTTCCTCAGATAATTGTGTATTCTCCCTGAGCTTAATTGCAGCTATGGGTGAACCTTGACCCATGAAGATTAAATCAAATAATCAATAAGTCACTCCTCTAATAAACAAGGTCATTTTCTGACTGTATTTTTCTGCCTTGTCTGCAATCTACATCTTCTGCTAATGATGTTAAGGGGGCTTCATCCAGAAACAATTTATCCAAATTATGCTGCAGTTATCTCTGAGGGTTGCCTAACAACACCAATGCAACTGAGAAAACTGGGGGTAGAATCACAGGATTAAATATGGTTTTCTGAGGTGTTACGCCGTCTTTATGTAGTGTGGTAGGAAGAAAGTTCATTGGAGGGAAAGGTGGCAACATAAGGTGGTTAGCTAACGGGTAATATCTCTGACTTACGCCCATTAGCCTTCCTGTAGTTGTTACAGGATGGAACAAAAATCGTACTGGTGAAAGACATGTTTTATAGTTCTTCATTGTTAAGCACTGTTGTACAATTCCATGTTAGAGAGATTAGATGATGCAATGTTTCAAATGTTACCCAAATATTTAGAGTAGGTATAGTTCAGCTTTCATTACACATTATAAATGTGGCTTCATGCAAAGTCATGCTTGCATGATGACAATGCTTTTGGTCAATATTGACAGTGAAGGGTACAGAGACAAGAGCATATCAAAGCCAACGCAAAGGCACCCAATGCAAAACCAACTGTGTGGTTGTGGCTTTTTGCATTTGAGCAGTGAGGCATTAGTGCAGCACCAGTAAAGGGCGTGGCATCTGAACTGAACAACGACAAGTAAAAACACTGGATCGCTGTACATACAAAGGGGGACTCCAACAGTGCCAGAAAAAGAATTGAAGCATCAAAGTTATGGTGAAATGTGCAGGGAAGTTTAAATATTATCTGCAACGTGAATACAATTTTCAATTCAATGGTTCATAAGGCAGCATTTTTCAGTTATTTATTTCTCATTATGTCTATAGATTAAAGGGGCCCTGTATATGTTTCATATTTGTATTTAGTGTCTCTACTGTGACATGTTTCAATGTTTTAATGTTCAAACAGGTATTTATCTTCCTCATACTGCCTGTGCTGTAGCACCTCTTTCACCCTCTGTCTGAAACCAGAGCCCAGACTGCTCTGATTGGTTAGCTGGCCGGTCAACCGCTTAGAGATGTCCCGCCCCTTAACCTATCACGTACAATGTGTTGGAGCGCTAGTGTGTGGGAAAGAAAGTGCGTCTGGAGGGAACTTTGGGATTGTAGCCTTTGCTGACCATTTACATGCACAAAAACACACTACAGGAAAGGGAAAACCCCAAAAGAGCTTAATATGGCCTCTTTTAAATTACATGAATTTACTGCATCTACAGTACATCTTTTACTGTCCAACCCCATTTTAATTTTTCCAGAGATATGTTTCCATATCACAAGGCTTCAACATCATCATTTCCTTCTTCTTTTTTTTCCTCTTGGGTAACAAGTTTACAGGAAATGGATTTCATTAGCCCTTTCCTGTTTCTTAAAAAGAGCATAACCCTTTGCCATACTGTTAATCTGTGGCGTCCAAACGCCTGACTGTAATCATGTCTGACAACCTAAACTTAACAAGCTTTAATAATTCAGTCAGTGTCATCCTGAAAAACAAACGGTTCTGGAGAAGGAGCCGTCGGACATATTCTGTTATTCATAACACACCTTCGCCCTCGTGGTGCAAAGCAAAATCAGATTTGTCAGTCCAGCGCATGTCCCTGCATCAAATATGAAATGCTTCTCCACTCCGATTGAATTATGCTTTACAGATGGATTCACAAAAGAGGGAAAAGCCCCCAACCAGTGAGCTCCAGATAAGAGGCAGCGTGGAGCAACGAGCAAGTAGAGAGTGGATAATATTGAATGTTTACACTTGTACACATCACTTTCTTTGATCAGACAAGCATATCTTGTCTGCCTGGAGTCTCTGGAGATTCCCAGAGAACCTCAGCATATTATCTGAGGGAAGCAGCTCCACAGAGCGCATATGAGAGGCAGTGTCTCTGCTACACTGAGCTGAAGACAGTACAAGGGGGATTGTATTAACAAGAGTGTAGCTGCATGAGGCAACCAGTGACTGTTCAGCTTTTCTTCTGCACTAGTTACTCTCTGGGGCTCAAGAAGTCAATGGCCTCATGTGTTTGGGCGTGTGTCAGTGTGTGTTTGTTTGCACATCTGTATCGGCTTGCACACCTAAACAAATACTTATGTGTAGGTGTTTTTGCTATTCTATTCATGCTCATTTGTGAATTATTCAAGAATTAATTAGAATTTTGCCTTGGAATTATATTATTATTATCACTGATACACAGAATTATTTGGCCTATGGTGTACGCTGGGGTGTAACAAACAAACATTATAGTACAAAAGAAAACGATAGAATAATGACAAGAAAATGAAGAAACGGCTTTCCAATTAAGTCGTTTTAGCAGTCACAAGCCCCCATCCCACTACTAAATATAAGAAATATAATTAAACAAATGCAGGTGGTCCTTTTTGACATGCTTCTTTACGTTATGTGTGAAATTGTACTAAATCCGAGGCAAATATAACCAACAGTGTTACCTATTTCTGCATTTCAATGGTACCTACTAATAACTGCACCGTAAAGAAAAAGGAATTAAGGATGGATTATGATGTAACATCTCAGCAGGAAGCTCCAAACACACGTCTAGGATGAACATGAATAGCATAAACACGACTGACGTAGGCAGGGCTTAAAATCCCACAAATTGTATCTTGAAGACCAACCATCTGGAATATTAGGCCCAAAATATTCCTGTAAGACGAGCCCTCTCGCTGCTGTGCACTGATATAAACCAGGTCGTGCTCTGTATCCACAATCAGTATCCAGTTTCTGCTTATGTATTCCTTGATACAAGTCAAAGCTCCATAGCAACAAGCTGGAGCCTTTTTATGGCCCCCGTGTGTATTGTGGAGCTTAATGAAATCCTGCTCTTGTTCTCTCATAGATCTAAGCAATGAAACGCAGCCAGAGATTGGCCATCTCGATGCTTAAACCTTGTTGAGCGTCAATTAATGGCAATCAAATGGATGATGCGCCTGTCTAATTTGGTAGTTAAAAGCTCTTCTATCCGTCTGAGTCTCCTATAGTTTTACTGACAGCAGAGTGGGAAACCAAAGAGAGAATTTCAAGCAATGTAATCAGAAAAAAAGTCACTACGATATCTGTCAGTTTTAAACCCCTGAGATTTTGTGTCCAAAGTGACTGACACAATGTAAATCCGTTTTATCAAGATGCTTTAAAGCGTAACCAGCGGGTGACATATTAAAATCCAAGCCTTCAGGTCACATCCATGTCACGTTGGAGCTTCTCTCAGCTGTGTAACCAGGAAATGAGCGTAGGTCTGCTGGCGCTGACGACAGTGCTGCTGCTCTCTCAGACGGAGGTGGGGGTCATCCCAGCAGACAGCCATCAGCTTACTTATCTTAATGGAATATTGTCAGAATTACAGTGGTCAGCAGCTTTTCATTCCAGCAAGTGTGCTCAATGACTTTATAGTGTGTCCTCTCTGGTGTAAGGTGTGCTGAACCGTGAAATGAGCTGCTTGTTTGGTTGGAATAAAGACTTGGTTCACAACTTCACATGACTGAAGAACACTGACGTAGCATGCATATGTTCTTTCCACTCACTTTTTCCAGTCATTTTCGTGACTCTGAATATCCCCGTCTAGTTGGTGACAGCGTCTTTATCTCTCCTTTATCTTCTCCCATTTCCTGTTAGGACTATTCTGTTTTTTCAGGAGTTTGGCTCATTCGTTACCTCACTCTTTAGGTGATGAGAAGATTGGTGTAAAAGTCATCTGTATTTCTAGGATATAGCTCTACGCCGCCCTTCTAATCCTTCCATTCAGTATTTTAAGTAATTGTGGGCTAAAAGCATTATTTTATAGTTTGAAGTAAATGGAAACATGTGGACCTAAACATGTTAATATGAAGTTTAGATGATTCTTGATAAACTGATTAATTATAGATCTTTTAGAGGTGCTTGTAGGGGAATTCTGTTATCTTTATAAAGAGACAGGTTCGCTTTTTTCCCCTTGTTTCCCGCTCTTTTGCTAAGCTACGCTAAATGGCTACTGATAGTCGTCTTTTCAAAGGAAATAAATATGTTGTATAATTTGTTCACATATTAACTGTTTGCCACAAGGTTCATAAGCATATGTCCCATTGTAATTACAATTTAACCACACATACAATGCAAGTGTTTAAATGAACATATTGTAATAATTACCCTGCAGGTGCACCGAAATGTCAGTCATTTCCCTTCTTTATATTCTCAAAGTCATCTGACAAATATTAACATTTATAAAGGTTACCCAAATTGCTGAATCGACTACAATTAAATA